CTACACCTCAGTTCTTAGTAATCTGGAGAGGGGTTGCTACTACAGGATGGAATAGAAGTAAAATTAGCCATATCATGCTAAGAGCATACATGCTACTGTCCTTGTGTATATTTTGTTCTGGGGTCTTGTTGAGCTCTCTGACATTGAAGTTTCTTGTACCCCTTCATAGCTATGTCCTTGGCTGACTCACTATTCCTATATGGTTATGGTTTGTCTTGGGGAAAAAATGACTTGAGCTTTGAGCTTTAATTATAAGATATTTATAATATTTTTAAAAATCTAATAAAAACCATACATTTCTTTAAAATAAGATAAACCAGGCTCACAAGGAATTAATGGTTCATTGCTTTCAGCTAGAAACTTAACTGTGTGATGGCTCTTGATTTCATTCGTGCTACAGATATGGGAAATATTTGCATGTACTTTTTATTGTTAAGATGACCCAAGAATTGTCATTGCAACCTTTGTTTGCATTCAGATGAGAAGGAAGGAATTGGTATGTAGCTTCTTTTAATTAATAAAAATTGTAAATATGTTATTAATAAATGCAATATACTTGATGACTGTTTTAATGTAGGGACCCAAGAGAAAAATAATAAGACATATCATTGTATTGAAGTTGAGAACCACATTACTGATGACATTCTGACGTTACTGTATGAAGTACAGGCTATGGGGATTTTGAGACACTTTAGGTCACTGCTTAATTTCTAGAAATAAAAATTTGGGAGATGAGGAAGGTGGCAAAGATTTCTAAATGGATAGAATACCTGCCATGGTTTTTTCCTTGGGACAAATATCTTAGTTTTCAGTTGTACTGAGGATCATATAACTTAAATGTTTCACACAAGCGCAGTTCCTTTGAAGGAGAAGGAAATAAAAGAGGGAATATCACATTTTGGTAAATAGGAAAAGGAAAGTTATTATGCAGGAATTCATCAAATATTAATAAGTTTTCTGTAGGGATGATTAATAAGAAAATGAATCCTATCAATTCCCAAAGCAAATATATGTATCTGAGAAAATTGTAGTCAAATAAGCAGATACTTACCTCTCTTGCAAGGAAGATGAGGTCTATTAATCGCTAGCGCCGTGGAAAATATTTTTAGAGTGCCGGTTGAGAAGTGGTACAGATACGAGAAACGTAAGCATTTACTTTTATTGGGAAGGTGACGCAAGAATTGTCATTGCAGCCTGTGTTTTGCGTTCAGACGCAGCGACTCCGCAAGCTGCAGGGGAGTTGGTTGCTGGGACGCAGTTCTGCAAAATACTCTGGCAGGGGTCGGCTCTGCCTCCGAGGCTGCATTGCGGCGAGGTGTGCCAGGTTTGTACGTACAAGTTTAGGGAACCTTTTCCTGTGGCTGGTGGGACTCAAAGGACACGAAGGAATATGCTATCATTTAAGGCCCGTGATTCTGAAGTGCTCAGGGACCGTGAAGGCGAACTGCTAAAAACAGCGGTCTTCGCAAGCTCCCAGAGCAGCGGGTGCAATGTTTCCTCCAGTCCGACAAGGGCCACTAGGAGCTATGCGCCGCGTGGGGCCGCTCTAGTCCGCCGCTCGTCTCTGTAGCCCCTCCCGCCCGCCCACCACACTCCCTCCCCCCGCCCGCAGCCCCGGGTGGGTGCGCGAGGACGCCGCCTGCACGCGTGCGCGCTCCCTCGGTGCAGCTAGTCTGCGTGCGTGAGTGGGAGGTGGCAGGCCTCAGATTTGGCCTTCCCGGCTGACTGTTCCAGCGCCAAGTCTCCAGCCATGAACCGGTTTGGTACCCGGTTAATGGGAGCCGCAGCAGCCCAGTCGCCGCCGTCGAAAGTCCGAAGCAATGAAAACCTCGACAAAATTGATATGTCTTTGGGTGAGGGGCCGACTTGGACACCGAGTTGGGGTGGGGGGAGGGTACGGGTGGAACCAAGGGCCGAGATTTGTGGGGGAAGGGGCGGTTGACCGCAGTTATGGATCGAGTTTTCCTGCGGGTGGGTGGAACCGCGCTGGGACCCGTGGGGAAAGAGGGGAGAGCCCGCTGGCGCCGGTGGTGGCGCCTGAGGAACCCGGAGTCCCTTCGGCTGGGCTCTGTGTGAAGAGGGGCTGTGAGGAGGACCTGTGGGGACCGGTGGCGCGGTGGGCCTGGAGGCTCGGGGAGTCGAGGGCTACGTACCCTCTTCCCCAGAGGGGCGCTCCTGCCTACGGGTGGCCCCTCTTTTTATGAGGAAAACTCGGCGGCTTTCCCTCAAGTCTGCTCGCGGTGGGCGTTATCTGGGGAGCGAGGGGACTGGGCCGGCTAAGCCATCCTTTCTGAGGGACGGTCTCTGAGAGCCAGGCTGGATCTGCGTTCGCTTGAAATAATTGGTTCCGGAGAGGGTCTTGTTGAGCATCTTCTGTGCCAGACCTACGCGGAGAAGCCGCGATTTGTGACGGGCGGTTGACGCGCCCCTCGGGGCCACACGGGTCCCCACTCCGAGCGTTTGTCGGGAATAGCGCTAGGCTAGTACTTCGTCAGATCGAGCTGGGAAAAGGCACTTTCTTCTTATCAGGGCCTCAGAGTTAGCTAATGAGAAAAAAATGAAGAAAAAACCCGTAGGAGAGATTTCCCTTGGCGGATGGAAAGCCAGGTCAAAGCACGGGGGCTAGCTCATTAAGGGGGAGTCGTGATTTGGCGGTGTTGTGAAAAGCCCAGATTGGTGATGCAATTAGAAATTCCGACCTATCACTGCTGAGGCACTCAGCTGTCGGGGTCTGGCTGCGCCCGGTGGAAAGTACTTCTGTGTTAGGTCGGGATTCAAGTTGTGGTTGTTGGAGCTACCTCTGCCTGCTCCTCTTTTGCCTAGAATGATTATTTTTAATTTGAAAAGTATCTGACCATATATAATGGACACAGAGGTGTAACTTTACAAGAACACTCTTTTTCTCCCATGATTTTACCTGGAAAGTTTTTAGACAGACATCAAGAATCCTTGGTTTCTAGGTTGCCACTCAAGAGGACCCAATTTGTGAATTAAGTACATCATCAGAAATAATAGCTTTTTTTTTGTTTTTAAAGAAATAATAGGTTTAGCCTCAAGTATTGTCTACTGCTAGTCAGGAGTGAACTCTAAGAATGACACGTTTTTGAGCGAAGACCCAGAAAGAATATATAATAAATGCTTACTGAGTGCTTACCACCTGCGGATCTCCGACCAAGCGTTTTACATGTGTCAATTCCGTTTATCCTCGTAGTAACCCTATGAAGTGTGTATTCCTCAGTATGAAGAGAATGAGCCAAACAGTCTCAGTTCAAATCCGGCATCTGCCACTTAATAGCCATGTGATCAAGGGCACATTACTTCTCAGTGCCTCATCTGTAAAAAGTGGGTAATAATAGTGCTTATCTACCTCAGAAGGTTGCTGTAAATATTGGATGAGTCACTGAGCATATGTGACTACTTAGAATACACCTAGTATACAGCAAGTACCACATTTACATAAATATATTCAGGAATAAACCTCTCTTGATATCCCCACTTTACCAAACCTGAGGCATAGAGAAATTAAATAACTTGCCCAAAGCCATAAAACAAGTGTTAGAACCAGGATTTTCATTTTGGCTCTAGACTTCCAAGTTATTGATGTTGTAGAGAACCTTAAATGTGTATTTTCATAGCAAATTATGTCTTAAATTTCTAGGTTTTTTAAAAAATGTATTTTCTCTGGTGATTAAGATACTCAAGTGAAGAAAGAGGAAGGATAATTCTCTGAATATAGAAATGAGGTGTTGTAGATTGGTCTCTAAAACAGCTTGGTCTCTTCTAAGACCACACAACATTCTATAAGGTGCCCCCCACCTTTTTTTTTTTTTAAGTAAGAATTTTATAGAGATGAGGTGAAGTATCGTGAATAATTTGTCTTTAGACCTAATTTTGGCTTTTGCTTGTTTTGTTTTAAATTGTGATTGTAGTAGGATTATATGAATATTCATAGAGTGAATATTACTGATAGGTGACTTTATGTGGCTCACTTTCTTCATTTGAAAATGAGTATTACATTTATTTTATAGAATTGTTTTAAGACTTGAATGCATGCCAGAACGGTACCTGTTAGTACTCAGTTACTGGTATTATTGAGGATATTATTACCACATATATACCCCTAGTGCTGTAGAAGAAAATTACTATAAAAGTAGCTCACCATAATGGGTTTATTCTTTTGCTGTTTACCCAGAGTGGGAACAAACAACTTCTTTTAGATTGGAAGGATCCTTCATGTAATTTGAGGATTTGGATAATTAAATGTTTAAATATAGAACAATTTATATGGGGTGGTAAGTGCACTGGACTGTGGTGATGGCACACGGGTGATTTGGTGATGGGAAGCCCACAGGGATTACTACTGAGATGAAAAAAAGCACAAAATGATGTAAAAATAAACTTATATTATTAAAAATTTATATTTGATATGCTTTGCTACTTTTAACTTTTAGTTGTGTTTATAATCTGTTTTTCTGTCATAAAACCTGGTTAGTCACATGTCTTTTTTTTTTTTTTAATTGCTCCCCCTACTAAATTTATTTTGATGTATTCTCATGGATCTGCTCTGAGATATCAGACTTCCGGTGAGGAATAAGTACCACCTTTTTAAAGGATAGTGTTTTCAAAAGTATTATTTCTGTTTCCTTTCTGCTCTTTGATTTTAGCATGTTCACATGTATCTGAAACTTTAAAAAAAAAAGAATTTTTTTCTTAGTGTCCTTAACTCATAAATCCTTTTGTATTTGAAGGACTGATCTAAAGAAGATAATGAAGTATCTGGGGAGTTTGGATTATTTCACTTGACTACTACTTTGGTTCAGACAAGAATACAGATAGGTGACACAGAATAGTAATATAAAAAAGGATCCCTTTAATCTACATTTCTTCCATTAACTGAGGAAAGACATTATATTGGTATAGTTGTTAGAATATTTGTGTTTGGAGCTGTTTGGATAAATATAATGGAGGTTAGTTTTGAAATTTTACTGAGATGTTATTGACCATATTAAATTTCTTTTTTTTATCACCAAAATTAATATTGGAATTGGCACTACTGTCCTTTAAAAAGTGCTGTGTAGTCTTCATCAGAAGTCTGAAATCTCAGAGCAGAGCCATGAGAATACACCAAAATAAGTTTAGTGTGGGGATCATTAAAAAAAAAAGTACAGGGGTCCGCCCTGGTGCCGCAGTGGGTTAAAGCACAGCACTAAGAAGCTAAAGCCACTTTAGCATGAGTTCGATCCCCGTCCGGAGCTGATCCACATGGCGCAGCAGACCTCTCCTGACCTGCCTGTTCTGCTCCCCACTCTTATCTCTGGTGAATCCTCTCACCGCCCCTGCATCTCTGGCCTGTATCCCAGTTCTGTATGCGTAAATAAATACATCTTTTAAAAAAAAAAAAAAGGTACAGATGGAGCTGGAGAAGATCATGCTTAGTGAAATAAGCCAGAAAGAAAAGGAAAAATACTGGATGGTTTCACTCATGGCATGAGTATAACGGACCAGACGAGAAAATAATAATAATGATAATGAACAGCTATATACCAGAGACATTTATTTTTTTAATAATATAACAGTTTATTTTTACATCATTTTGTACATTTTTTTTCATTTCAATTGTAATCCCCATGGGTTTCCCATCACCAAGTCACCCGTGTGCCATCACCATAGTCCCATGCACTTCCCTCCCTCTGCCCCCCGTTTTTGATCCCATTCCCCATTCCACCCCTACAAAATTTCTCTGGTATAAGGCTGTTCATTATTATTCTTGTTATTTTCTCGCCTGGTCTGTTATACTCCTGCTATGAGTGAAACCATCCAGTATTTTTCCTTTTCTTTCTGGCTTATTTCACTAAGCATGATCTTCTCCAGTTCCATCTAAGTTGCTGCAAAAGACATGTGTTTCTTTTTTTTGGTTGCTGAGTAGTATTCCATTGT